TAGTAATATTTGTAATGATATAACTAAAGTCACCCAACTGAATGGGAACCATATACCACTCATCATATAGTAAATTTAAGCATGATTTTATATACACAATAGGTAACTAGTAAATATTTGTTGAATTGTATCAAGCAGAGCAGTTTGGGGTTTAGAACAAGGAACAATCAACTACTGCATCAGGAGCTGGAGAGAAGGATCACAGTGGAAAGCAGGGATGAGATTAGAGAGGGCTTCAAATGCATTTCTCATTAGTTTTAATTTTGCTTTCAGTGTGGAGCTATGGATGGCTCTGGAATGAGAAAATCGACATGTTGAAAAGCATGAAAAGTAATTTCTACTTTTTTGGTATGTTCTTTTAGAAGTAACTCTAATGTTATTTTCTTGAATGCTTTCCATCCCCAAATAAATTGTGCCTTTTGTGAATCGTGACCATTCTGTAATATTATATATGAGAATGGGTGACACAATGAAATATTTTATTCATTCTCCCAAATATCTTGTACCAAATTCTTAGAACACTTATGTCAACTCAGGTGCCCTCATTTGAAATACTTCTGGAGAATCTTTCTTCATTCTTCTATATGTGATTAAAAGATAGACATTATACACATTCATTTAACAACTAGTAATTAAAATCAACTATTGCAAAACATTTAGAATATGATTTTCTTGGGCTTGTTTTTAAATGAAGATAATGTATAGACTAGCAACTACAGTAAGTTAGTTTCCTTCCACCTCTTTGCTTTCCTTTCCTTACTTCTTACCCCCAGGGTTTAAAGTCCTATTTTTAAGCCTCTTGCTGTTGAGTTGTTTTCCTTAATATCTGTCACATATATTTGACTGACACACTTATTGAATGTACCGGGGCGGGGTGGGGGGCCTTCATGCAGAGCCTGCTAAACTTTAAAGGCTTGTTTCTTTCTTCAGAGAAGTTGAGTCAAATTAATAATGGTCCTTAGAGAAGCAGGAAGCTTCTGGGTCTTGACAAACTGGCAGGGAGGCTCAGACAATGTCTCGCTGTAGCCTGGAGGCCGGGCGGATTTGATTGACCAGTTCTCACAAAACTGAAAGGCCTTCTTTTGAATGGCAGCCTGCCACCCTAAGTGTTTGTCAGTGTAGGCACTGAAGCAGAATAGCGTTTGGAAAGCAAAATATGATTGTAAGTGAGAGAAAAGTTGGAGGACAGTGGCTCTACTAGAGGCAGAGAAGAAAGGATGATGGTTTCTTGTGCTTCTATGGAGACATAACATCTCCTGAATTTATAGAAGGAATCTTATTCATTGAGAACATAAGTAGGATATCATTCATGTTGAACAAACTCATTATTAATCTCATAAGATCGTTGTGTCTCAGGTAAGTTTACCTGATATGGTAAGTAGTTTATTCAACCATCTAATTATAGAAGAATGGGATGAGATGCAGTGGGTTTGGTAATAATAACAAAGTGAAAATGAGGTACAAAACCAACCGTTCTGTCTGTCTTTGAAGGAAAGTCATAAAATCAGTGTTGATAAATCAGTGATAGAAAAAATAAGAAATTTCTTTTAATGTATCTAGTAAAACTGCTAAAGATATTTTGTCATTGAAATCATTTGGCTCAATTTCCCTTATATTGGTACTTATTGACCTTATGAATTTTGATAGTGGTACTTGTACAGCTGTTATTAAGTTTTCGACTAGTAACTACTACATTTCTGATTTTCTAAGGTTGATAACTTGATTGTAAATAACAATAGTAAAAACTGAGATCCATGTGATCTTTTAGCATTATGGTTTATTTCACAGTCTAGTAAGGCCAGAAGTTGACATAAACACTATGCTATCCAGAGACCATTCATTCCTATCTAACTTTGAGTTTATTTTTTTAATTTAATAATTTGCATAATAAACATAGATACTGAAAAGAAATATGCCTACTTTATTTAGGATTGTAGTCACTATTGACGTAGTAATATTTAAACCTTTTTTTTTTTTTTTTTTTTTTTTTCTTTCAACATTTCCCCCAGTACTCTCAGGAAAAAAGTCCAAAGTCCTTAACATAGTTTACAAAACTAGCAAAACCTGGTTGCAATATGTCCACAGCCACATCGGCTTTCCCTCCTCCTACCCTACCTGCATCGGCAGGCGGACTCTCAACCACTGCGCCGCCACCAGGGCCCCTGACGTAGTAATATTTAACAAATGAATCATAAAAATTCAGGGCATATAGTGTGATGTTTAAGATTCTTATCAGTAAATATTGGCTAATTATATAAAAGATTGTTTCCAGAGTTTTAACAAATAACAAGAATTGGATAGTGGAGATACTATTTCTCATGAAGAACAGAATACTTGTTCCTATCTGACCTTTTGAAATAAAATCTACTTTTTCTAACAAATAACTTTTACAACATGAATATCTTATGGGATATTTAAAGAGTTATGATTTTTTTTTAATTTGTGATTTCTTTCTAAGACATTTCTGTAATACCTGGAAGGCATATTTTTTGGAGAATAAAATAATCACCATACTTAATCATTTACTAGAAATTAATACTTTGCCCTGATGTTTTAAGTTGCTTCATTTTATTTTTAGAAAGATTAACCCCGAATTATAAATTTTTAGGAAGAATTCTGTAAGAATGTTTCTTGACCTTTTATAATTCTTTGAAGTATCTACTAATAATCAATCATATTAAATACATGTTTTCAAGTTTAAAAAACACTGAAACTCCAGTATAGCCCTGATTTCCATAAGCTGAATTCTATACTAAGATCTTACCCTCAGATTTTTGGTAAGCATGTCTAGTCACTAAAGTAGGAAAAGATTCCTGTTGTTAGAATGGTTTACTCCTGAGGCAGGCCAGCGTCATTGACCCTAACATCATCATGGATGCATCTCAGTGTTTCTTTACTTCACTAAAAAAATTCTAAATTATGCCTCTTTACATATCTTTAAAAGTAAAACCAAAATTGACTTGAAATAACAGTCAAGGATATTCACCTCTTTTTTTCAAAAAAAGGGCCATGTACTAGGTAAAAATGTAGAGTCATTTAAATATCTACATTTGATATTGTAAATCTTTTGTGAGTTATTTACAGCAATTGAATTGAGCTTATAGTTTCTATATATGATTTCTGAGAAATACATAGTATGATTATTTCTGACTAGATTGAAAGATTATTTCTGACTAGATTGTGGTATATATTAGTTATAAATTCTGTTTTGTTGTATTCAGTTGCATTGTTTTCATCGGGCAATTTATCACATGGGTATATGGGAAATTTCGTCATTCATTAAATTTCAGATTACGTATTTCAAGCCAGAGCAAGACTTAAACATTTTTCCATAAGTATAGCTGCAGGTAAACAAGCAATTTTAGCCCTGAAAATAGCTTCTGCTTCTGTCAACACTTTGTTTATTCTTTCTCTGAGATGAAAAGTTCAGTTTTCTGATATTTGTACCAAGATAAAGTCAGTAAACAAGATTAATATAGTGTGGAAAAGGTTGTCAGCAGCCCTGGCAAAGGAAATAAGTTGCCTGTACATAGAACATACTGTAAACTGAATAAAAGTGTCAGGTCCACCATGAGATAATGTGATCATGAACCTCTAACAAAGCATGACATAGGCGCGGTCGGCTTTTCTCATAGCCACTGTGTAGAAAATGGATTACTATATTCCAGGGTTACCCACTGGAATAGCATGAAAACCTCATTTTGAGATGAATGCAGGATGTAGTCCTGGAGTTGAGCCACATGTTTACCTGTGGTGCTCAAACCATAGGGTTATTAATGTCATCATCTGTGCACATTTGCAATATTTGCATTTCTTAGAGTTTCAGTGTGTGCTGGCATCCATGTTACCCAATTGATACAAGACAAAATAACATTTTTGAAAATGTTCGTTTCTTCTGAGGGGTATTTGTTGCCTTATCATGCCTTTTTGGATTCTGTATGTTAAGTGGCACTTCTATAATTACAGAGGGATTTTTTTTTAATACAGCGGAGCATAATGTAAAGCCTTTTGCTGTCAGTTTGTGTCTCATCAGTTGTGATGGTGGATTCATGCTGTGTTTATGTTCCCATTGAGAACCCTCTATAGGATAGGAAAGTTGTGACATTTTCTTTAAAAATGGGAGTAGCTTGCAATATCAAAAAAGTTGAACCTTGAATTCTTTCTCAGCTTTTTAATTTGATTTAGAAATAAAGGAATAAGATTTTTTCTCTTAAGTGAAATTACATTTTGTTCTATGTAAATACACAAATAATTCCTAACTTTATGGGAAAACTATAAAAAGGACTACTCACTGCTTCCTTGACGTAAGTCTTTGTATGCATTTTTTCTGAAATAGTTGATTTACAATGTTGTGTTAGTTTCAGATATACAGCAAAGTGATTCAGTTAGACATATATATATATGTATATATTCTTTTTCAGATTCTTTTTCATTCTAGGTTATTACAAGATAATGAATATAGTTCCCTGTGCTATACAGCAGGTCCTTGTTGCTTATCTATTTTATATATAGTAGTGAGTATAGTTTAATCCCAGACTCCTAATTTGTATGCATTTAAACTGTGTGCATTATAATACATGTTATTTACATTTAGGAGTTAACTACAAACATGTTGGTCCTAGGAAATATCATCTTCTCAACACTAATCTAATTAAGTAAACCTTTTTTTATATACAGTTAAATATATTTGCAGTTGTACAGTATTTGGAAATGAGAGTCAGTGGTCTAGTTCTTAAGAAAGATTTTTTTTTTTCTGTTATGAAGGTACTTTTTAAATAGTCTTAAAATTCTAGCCGACGAACTATGCTAGACTAAAACAAATCGCACATTGTTACCAGGAATTAAAGTATCTTTTGGTCCATGCAGTTGTGTCTTAGGTTTTGAGAATCGTTATATTCTCCGTTTCAGAGTGGATGTCCTCAAATGAAAACATCGCTGTTATTCACTGCCTTTTTACACACTCAACGGTGACCTGTTTTTGGTTTTAAATCTCCTTTCAGGTGACCACTCCTGGCCCAGTCAGTAACAAGAGAATGGTTCACTTTTCCCCAGATTCTCATCACCATGAGTGAGTATGCATGGTATTTGTATAATCTTGTTGGGCTATTCTGTATCTTTCTTTTGGGAAATTGGTAGCTATTGCTAGTAAAGGTGGTTCAATTTAAATCTGTCTTATAAAAGAGTAAACATCATGTACCAAGGACAGTAGTCCAAGAACAATTTAAATGAAACCCATGACAGAAATCTAAAGAAAAGTTTTTAAGTAATCATTCTTTTATTTTACTTGCCATAGAATTTGAAATTCACGTGTTACTGAAAGTCATATATAAGATTATCTCAAAGCATTTAAATTTTCATTACATTAAGTAGCATCAAGCTCTCCTTTGACTCATCCATCCTCACTTCCTTCCTTCTACAACCCTTTCTAAGGTACTGAAGTGAAGAGTGAGTCTTTTCCTCATTAATTCTCTACCCTCTGCTCCTGTCCAGCATGAGCTGTGATGGGACCAGAAAGTATTTGCATTTAGCAACAAAAGGAAGAGACTAATTTACTAGATAACTCCAAAAAAGTAAAGCTGTGGCTTGGTGAGTTACGGGGTGAATTTCTAGGTGCTAATTCTACTTCTAAATACATCTTTGCTAGAAAACCTGAAATAAGTTGTGTATTTTGGCTCAATACCATGTGTCTCCTATGAAGCTGGTTGCACTTGAGAAAGACATTAAAATATGGAACGATATGAATTAATTATTGAATGAATTTTTTCTGGAAAACAATTATATTAGGACCCATTAGGTCCTATTTTTTAAATCTACTTTTTATCAAATATAAAGCAGAAATTATTGTTCAGATGTAGCTTAATTTATAAATATTAATATAGTATAATTTATATGATATAAAATATTATCTATATAGATTATTTTTATATATTTACGTTTATAGCTTATGATATCACAATCTTCCCTCTTAATAGCTTATCTTACTCGTTGTTTCATTATCCCATAAAGGACCTTCTCTCTTTTTTCACTCAAACAGAAAAAATAAAAATAAAAATGGATAAAGCATTTTTTATCTCATAAGGACCACCAGAAGATTTGTATGTTTTCGTCTCGGTTTTCTGTTCTGATAGAAAACAAATACTCAAGAAAGTAGATTTAGAGCTATATTTAAGCCAAAACTCGCATTTGGTAAAGATTGTAAATGCTCTGAGGGCAAACAATCTCTATCACCATCGTAATCCAGTGCCAGTTGTTGAGTGAGTGAAGACATAAAAGTTTGTATTTAAAATAGGACAAATGCAGTAATGTCAGTTGAGTATTGCTTCTGAAATTAGCCGGGGTGACCCTCATTGTAATATCCCAACAACCCTTCCACACCCATCTCCCCATAAATAAGAGTTTCTGGGGCTGGAACTTAGATGCCACCGTTTTTAGAGTTTCCCAAGTCATCCCAATGTGTTTGATTACAGTTCTCTCAACACTCGGGACTAAAACGATCATTTTACTACCTCGCGCCCTACCTGCTACGTCCACTTTTTTTAGTATCTCATTCTGACCTCCTCTTTTCCACATCCTCCTCCATTGTTTTAATTACAGCTCTGTTATCTTTTATATGGATCTTTCTGTCTCTACTCTCTCACTATTTCAGTACATACTACTTACTTCTAATATTCAAGTTCAGTTCTGATCCTTTTATTTTCCTATTAAAACTCCCAGTATTGATTGATTGCCTCTTGACAGTAGACAAACCTTAGCATATCGTTAAACACCTTCCACAACCTGGCTCCAGTTACGTTTCCACTTTGTTATCCGTTATCTCTTCCTCCTAACACCAGTGGTCCAGCTGTCTACCTCTGTGCCTTGAATAGAACCTCTGCTGCACTGGCCCCTTTAGCCAGTGACTTTGCTCATTCATCTCCTCCTATCCATATCTGTCAAAACCCTATTTATTATTCAAGACTGACTGAAAAGTCATCTATTATATTTTTCTGGATGTACTAGGTGCAAGTAACAGAGTATGAAACTAACGCTAGCTCAGACCAAAAGGTTTGGTTTTTCTTTTCCTCACACGAGAAGTTAGAAGGAAGGTGGCTCTAGGGCCTGCTACTAAGCTTAAGGATATTATCAAGGGCCAGACTATTCTCTTTTTCTGCTTCATCACCTGTATTCGTGTCCTAGAACTACAGTAACAAAGTATCACAAACTGGGTGACTTAAACAACAAATGTATTGTCTCATAACTCTTTTCTTTTTCCATACTTTTTCTTTTATTTCATTGCAGAATAAAACTCCTCTTGCATTGTTGCACTCTCCCTTTAATTTTCTATTTTCTTAAAATACTTTTTATTGAAGTATAGGTAACATACAATATTATATTAGTTTCATTTATTGAAGAAGCTGTCTTTTCCCCATTGTATGTTCTTGCCTCCTTTGTCATAGATTAATCGCCCGTATAAGTGTGGGTTTGTTTCTGGGCTCTCTATTCTGTTCCCTTGGTCTGTGTATCTTTTTTTGTGCCAGTACTGTACTGTTTTGATGACTGTAGCTTTGCAGTATAGTTTGAAATCAGGGAGCATGACACCTCCAAGCTTTGCTCTTCTTTCTTAAGAGTGCTTTGGCTGTCTCACATTTCTGAAGCCTGGAAGTCCAAGATCAGGGTATCAGCAGGATTGGTTCCTTCCGAGGGCCCTGAGGGAGAATCTGTTTCTTGCCCCCCTCCTCACTTGTGGTTTGCTGGCAATCTTTGCTGTTCCTTGACTTCTGCTGCATCACCCCGGTCTCTGCCTTCATCTTCCCATTATCTTTGCCCTGTGTCTGTATCTGTGTCCAACTTTCTGCTTTTTATAATGACACAGATACAGATACATAATAACATTTTATAAGGTCAAATTGAATTAGGGCCCACTCTAGTGACCTCATTTTAACTTGATTACCTCTGTAAAGACCCCATTTCAAAATAAGGGCACATTTTACAGTACTATGGGTTAGGGCTCCAACATATCTTTGGGTGGCGGGGGACACATTTCAACACATAGCATCTTCCTGGTCTTTTTTTCTTATATGTCTTCAGATTTACTGCCTCATAGTCTCAAGATGGCGCCTGTGGTTCCACATATCATGTCTGCATTCAAGGCAGGAAGAAGAGGGAAGGACAGTACAAGCAGCTTTCCTCAAGAAACAAAATTATTTTCAAAAATCACTCACCCACCTTCCCTTAATTCTCATTGACCAGAACTGGGTTACTTGGTCACCCATAGTTGCAAGCGAGTTTAGGAATGTAGGTGTCTAGCAAAGGTTTAGATCAGTCATGATAGGTTACTTGAGTCTGGCACATAGTGACCCCTAACAAAATAAGGATAAGAAGAGGATACTATCCATTGAGTAGTTGCTAACAAAATTGGTCGTACTCAGCTCATTGACTTTTCAACATTCATACACACTCTTCACTCCATACATACATACTGTGTGAAATGCCTTTCCTGCCTTTCCCAAAGAAGACCACTTCAAAGTCTCATCCAGTTACATCATCTGTCTCAAAATCTCATCAGGGACCTCTGAGTGACATGAAGCTTTAATCAGATCTGGCTATGGCTCCTTGTAGTATGTTGTATGTAGCATAAATTAAAGGTGACTACATATAAAATATAGAATTGTGGAGAATGCAGGCTATTTCAACAAAAGCTCCTATTTGGTAAAGGAAGCACTTAATATACGTCCAATTTGGCAAGCAGTCCTTTTCTGCTTTCTTGGAGGACCTTTCTTGTTATTTATATGTAAGATCACAGCTGATATGTTCATTACCTCGGATGCCCTTCCAGGGTGCTGCACAGTTTTTGCAACTCATTTCTTTTTTTTTTTTCCCTTCAGCTTTATTGAGATATAATTGACAAATAAAAACTTGTAGAATATTTAAAGTGTGCAACATGATAATTTTATGTATATTTATATACATATACATACACACATTGTAAAAAGATTCCCACCATCGAATTAACACATTCATCAGCTCACATATTTACTTTTTTTTTTTGGTGAGAACGTTTAAGATCTACTCTCTTAACTTTCAAGCATACAGTACAATATTGTTAACTACAGTTGTCATTAATGTGCATTAGATCCTCAGGCTTTATTCATCTTATAACTGAAAGTTTGTGCCCTTTCATCAGCCTCTCCCCAGCTCCTCCACCCGACTCCCCACCTCAGCCCCTGTCAACCACGATTCTACTCTGTTTCTAGAAGTTCAACCTTTTTTTTTTTTTTTTAAGATTCCACATATAAATGATATCAGCCCTATTTATCTTTTTCTGTCTGGCTTATTTCACCTAGCATAATACCCTCCAGGTTCATCCATGTCGTCACAAATGGCAGGATTTCCTTCCTTTTAAGGCTGAATAATACTCCATTGTATGTGTGTGTATTAATTGACCATATATGCATGGGTTTATTTTTGGGCTCTCTATTTTGTTCCATTGATCTATGTGTCTGTTTTTAACCAATACCATACTTTTTTGATTGCTATAATATAATATATATATATATATATAGTATGTATTTTTTGAAGATAGTTTGAAATCAGGAAGTGTGATAGCTCCAGATTTGCTCTTCTTTATCAAGGTTGCTTTGGCTATTTAGGGTTTTTTATGGCTCCGTACAAATTTTAGGATTTGTTTTTTTCTATTTCTGTGAAAAATGACATTGGAATTTTTATGATTCCCTTTGCTCTGTGGATTGTATGGATATCTGTGCATAGTATAGATATTTTAGCAATATTAATTATTCCTATTCATGAATACAAAATCTCTTTCCATTTATTTGTGTCTTCTTCCATCCGGGTTTAATAGTTTTTGGTGTACAGATGTTTCACCTCTTTGGTTAAATTTATTCCTAAATATTTTATTATTTTTGATGCTATTGTATATGGGATTGTTTTCATAACTTCTCTTGGTGATACTTTGTTGTTAGTGTATCCAAACACAACCAACTTATGTATATTGATTTTGTGTCCTAAAGCTTTACTGAACTTGTTTATTTGTTCTAAGAGCTTTTTGGTGGAGTCTTTAGGATTTTCTAT